TATATATATATATATATATATATATATATATATGTATATGTATGTTTGAAACTCATATTCATCTAAGTTTATAAATAGGGAGCAATGCTAATAGAAATTAATTTATTGACTTAATTTTATTATTATTATTAGATTGCATCAGACATTTGAACTTAGTGTTAGTCCAATAGTTATAATAAAAACACGTTATTAGATCAACAAAATATGTCAAACTTTTAAATATCAATAACATTACTCTATCTATACTATATTAAGACACTTTCACTTTTCTTTTTTCAAATCTAATGTAAGATTCTAACACAAAAATACCCAACATTTTGTACTACATGGGATCAAATCTAAGTATACACATGCATATATGTGTTTATTTGTCCCTCGAAAATGCATAACAAAAGGATTATTATGAAGGTATATATATATTCTGGTCATTCTGTCAAAAGCATTTCCTGCATATTATGAAACTTCTGATGAACACCGCCTGTAAGAAAAGATCTACCTGCTGGAAAACAGGTGGATCTTAGTGGCCAACCCTAAACATTTTTTTGGCCTCATTCCTTTGTCTTAGAGCTAGTAAAGGTGGCGTTTGATCAGAGTTTGTTGCCTTGTGTATATTTTCACTCAATAGTAAATACTTGTAAAGTGTGAATTGTTGTCCAACTGCAACAAAAATTGAAGTTATGGATAAAAAGGAATACCCTCTTCCTTGACCTCTTCCTTTTTCTCAGCTGCTTGTGGGTTTGTCCCTTGTATTTGTTTTAGTTTTGTTCTATATATAGTTAAAAAAGCTCAACTTTTTTTTTAAAAAAAATAGAGGCTGTTTTGCATCTAAAAATCATAAATTCATGTGGTTCTACAATCATTTTGTCGTGGAAATAATTAGTGTCGTACTATCTTTTGCCGAATCTGTATCTTTTACTTGCAAGTCATCACTGATTCAAAAAGCAGGGTCTGATGGTGATACAAGTACTTAATTAACTGAACTCTTTTCGTCGAAAAAGAAGGAACCCAAGCACTGATCATTCAGCCTTGTACCTAATATCATGTTACCCATCAGAAAAAAAGTTGGGGAAAAAACAAAAATTGGAAAGTAATGTTTCATTGCAAAAGTCATATAGGTAGGACTTAGGAAGGACATCAATGGAGATGCAAGTGTAAGGAAGCCAAAGAAGAAAGATGTTACCTTTTTTTGGTTTGAAAAACAGTTGGAGAAAGAAGCTCATGTTAATATGAACCTCCCTCCTACGAAAGGTCACTTCACAATTGTTCTCCAGCTCAGACAAAATAGCTAACACTTGGGCATCAAACATGCTTGTAGCTTCAGAACAACGAGTCAAAAGCAGACACACTAGGAATTTCAGAATCCCAAATTCAAGAAAAAAAAACGAACTATGATACAACAATAAAGATTTCATTGCTATACGTAATATATGAAAAAATATTGGGGGTAACCATTATAACACATAAACAGTGCCACATTGGAGAAAGAAAAGGCCAAATAAATAGGCCTTGGCGAGTCACTTGCATACACCATATAGAACTTTTTTGGGGATATAAAAGGACCGAAATTACTTATTTTTACGTGTCAAGATTTTAAGCAAATTATGTTTATGTCAAATAATAATGTCAGTTTAACTAAAAAGTTAGCCAAAAATAATCAAGTGATATGAGAATGACGTGGTGATATTTTTGGTCTCTTGTTTAAAATTTGAATTTTGCTTATCAAATTAGTGTCACGTTATTTAATCTTTGTTGGTGTAACGTTAGCGCTGTGCAACTATATGATGTTTGTAATAGTCTTCTGCCTGCTGCATGTTGTTGCTTGCTGGACAGTTTTGATGGTCAACAGCCAAATTTGATTTACGAATTTCAAATGTATCTAGAAACAAAACAGAAAATAAAAACATAACTTTTTTCAGGCTATGAAAAATTAATCCGACTATACCTCAATTCTCTGGTCACAAAACTCTCTCTCCCACTGGGATAAAGACATTTATTCTCTCCCACTGAGATCTGAAGATTAATATTGTATAAAATATTCAAATAGAGAAGAATATTACAGGGAGAAATCTCTCTCTCTCTCTCTCTGTATACACATACACATAAAGCACATACATCCACAAAAATGACATAAACCATCTCAAACATTCCGTTTCTCCTGCTTTTAAACCACTTGCAAAGGGGTGATTTTTCTCTTCTGCAAATACCTGCTCTCCTCATCATCTTGTTCCTCCATCCATGGATACTGCTCAATGGCCACAGGTACTTGCAGATCCCTGACCTTGTTCTTCATCTTTCTAAGCTTCCCTTTCATTTTATTTGTCGTGGAATTGGCTTGTCGTGAGACTACTTTTGTGAAAGATGATGGTGTTAGAAGTCAGTACAAGTTCCCACTTTTGATCTTTTCAATATTAACTGCACTTTACTTTATTTTTATCAAGAATTGCAGAAGATTAAAATTGTAATTATTATTTTTTCTTTGTTGTTGCTGCTATAGATGATTTTAGAAAGGTGTAAAGCAGCAGACTTGTTTTGTTTGTTTGTCTGCTGTATCTTCTTTTAATCTGAAAGTTTTTTACTATGGCGGGTTTCATATGTTTGATCTTGAAGTTTTGTAATTGTATGGTTGCTTTATGTCTATTTCATTTCCTTTCTTTTCCTTTTGAGTGTTTTTTTGCCCTTTTTTCTTTTTGCTTTTTAGGAGATAGTGGTGAAACCAATGGAAGAGATTGTTCAAACTAACTGCTCAAAACCTTCCCTAGAGAGAAGGGTTAGGCCTCAGAAAGAACAAGCCTTGAACTGTCCTCGGTGCAATTCAACCAACACAAAGTTCTGTTACTACAACAACTACAGTCTGTCACAGCCAAGATACTTTTGCAAAACCTGTAGAAGGTATTGGACTGAAGGTGGGACACTTAGAAACATTCCTGTTGGAGGGGGTTCAAGGAAGAACAAGAGATCTTCATCTTCTTCTTCTTCGTCATCAGTTTCAACAAAGAAGCTTCCTGATTTAATACCACCACCAAATTCACAGTCTTCTCAAAACCCTAAGATCCATGAAGGCCATGACCTTAACTTGGATTTCCCAGTCGCTCATGATTTCAAAACTATCGCAGAACTTATTTCAGTACCCAACTTCGATAGCAGCAACAAGAGCCACATACCAACTCCTCCTTCTTCCTCAGCTTCATCTCGCCTTTCTGCTTTGGAGCTTCTGACTGGATTTACATCAAGGGGTATGAATTCCTTCATGCCGATGCCGATAACTGATCCGAATACAGTTTACACATCCGGGTTTCCTCTGCCAGAATTCAAACCATCTCTTAATTTTTCTTTGGATGGGCTTGGAAGTAGTGGCTATGGGAATCTCCAAGGGGTGCAAGAGACCGGTGGAAGGCTTTTGTTTCCATTTGTTGACTTGAAACAGGTCTCATCAAACACAACAACCGATGTTGAGCAAAATAGAGATCAGCATGGAGATTCAACTGGATATTGGAATGGCATGTTGGATGGAGGATCATGGTGAAAAAGATCAGCAAAAATCTTTCACTTTTTATTTTAAACTGTTTTCTTTAGTGTCTCTTGGTGGGTGACTTGTTTGGATTAATTTCTTCAAAACTAACTTACAGGATACAAGGGTTTCCTTCATCTTTATCCTTCATTTTTTTCTCTGTGTCTGATCATTGTGGGAATTCGAGGCTTATTTTAGGTTGGCTTCAGTAAAGGTGATTATGGATGCATTGTTACAGATAGAAGAAGAGATGAGGAAAAGCCCAGATTTTTTGAGGGGCAGCGAGTTAAAGAGGGCTTGCACTATTATGTGCATATAACCTTTGGTTGGTATCATATCACTTCTTCTATCATAGAGTATAAATTAAGCTGAGGGAAACCCCATTGTAATATGTCATTGGTTTGCTTGTTACGTACAAACAATAATGTATAATGTGTAAGTTTGTATTGGGTTTTGTCCATGGAAAAGACTTTGTTAAGTTGATTTCCTTTACAATAGTATTCTTAATTTCATTGGTGATAAAAATGGGTCGCACTCGCACTAGTGGCTGTAATCAATGATGCTTTTCACCTCTTTCTTGTCTTGTGTTTGATTCTTACGAACAGGCTTAGACTTTAATGTCTCATCAACATAGTCAAGGAATTCATCGAACCATCAAAGCATCTCTTCAGGAGGAAGATAGGAGCTTGAGTAACTAAGAAGATACAGGTTTGAACTCCATGATCCTTCGGATGATAGTGATATACTGTAATGTAGTTAGTAGTCATGGAATGGAATGGATACACCACCCCTATAGAGTTTTATGGATTAGAACCAGTACACCTGCTTCAACAAAAAACAAAACACATTCACATTGTCCCATTTCAAAGAATGATCATTGCTTCCCCATGCCATGTTCCTATCTTTTTCTTTTTCAATTCTGAAAGATTGAGAAAGATCTGACAAGTCATCCTTTTTTGGTGGTGTGAGGGACCCACAAACATTCTCCTCGGCAAGTGTGATAAGGAATAATCTTCTTCCCCAATTATTCAATTAATGTATAGATCTTGAGGCCCTCCAGTTGTTTATATATTTAGTTGTTTAATTAGGCTTCGCTGTAACCCACTTAGCGTACTGCATAATCACCGGTTCATGTGGATGCAGCACCACCTTGTGATGGAGGTCCTTTTCCTTTTCCCAAATGTAGAGGTTTAACACCTCTAATTCCCAGTTTTTTTTTATTCTTTTTTTTCCTTTCTCTATATCAGTTTGGGCAACTCAAGTACCACTTGGATCCAAATTATTCAATCATTCATGCGTTGTCCCGGAAACACGAAGTATGGGTTACAGGTACACAAATTTTTTTTTTTTTTTTTTTTCTACAGTGATGGATATCCGGATCAACTTATGCGCACTTCGATTAATCTCATTTTCGATCTAGTCAAAAACAGACCATCTACATCGAGACTAGATATTCATAAAAAATAATTCACTCATAGTCTGGTTGCAAGGAGTTGTTAAGATTTGAACACAGACGTTTAAGTTTACGACTCAACCTATTTAAATGTACAAATTTTTTGACCTCACGATCTTTTGTGGAAAAGAAAACCATTGCTACATAAATTTTAAGATTCGACTACTATACAGTAAGTTAATTTTTCTATAACGTGTGAAAAATATCATATAAAAAGCCTTTTTCAGTCCTAACATTTGGTTTGAGTGTATCGTAGAAGTTGATTAATGCGGTCACAATAAAAAAAGGCAAAATGCTAAGATATAGGAGTTTTATGCGGTTCATCATGCTCTTAGAGGTATTAAAGAATTATTTTTAAATACCGTATTGAAACCCTCAATTGTAAGGTTGTAACTTAGATTGGTAAAACCAGCTCCCCAGAGTCATTGTTTGGTACATAACCTAGATTGGGCTACTATTACTCAAACAGCATCTTCAAGAAGACAACATGTATTTGAACATTCTCAACGTGCATGCTGTTCCGTCATGGAATTTGGGGTTCTATTCATGTTCGTCTGCATTAGATCTTCTGCTATTCGTTTTTGGAGTGCAATGAAGCCTGTAGGATTTTAAAATAATATTAAGCATACAAAATAATCTCACATAGAATTAATCAAAGAACAAATTAAGGAAGAAGATGAAACTTGCGGCAAAACAAACAAAAAAAAAAACATGAAACGGATGAGGACCTTGGCTTTAACGTCAAACCCAAAGAAAAAATGTTTCTGCCAGTCAAGAAACTACAACCATAAAGAAAGACTAATAATAAAAAAAACAATTCTAATCCTATTCAATTTTAATTAAACTACACCAAACTAACTAGGACACTTTGGTAAAAACCCGGTAAAACTCTAATTGCAAATTAATACTTAGAGAGAGTTTGAGTCAAACTCCAACAACCTCCCTAGAATCAAACTCTTCAATCTTAATCATCCTCATCATCCACTTTAACTGCAAAAACACATCTTATTTAAGTGGAATGGTAAGAATATCTGTAATCTGATCCTTCGATCGACAATGCAAGATCTCAATCTCGCCATTAATAATCAAGTCACGAATATAATGGTATTTGATATGAATATGCTTGGTCCTCCCATGAAAAACTGGATTTTTTGACAAAGCAATAATTGACTTGTTATCACAAAAAATCTTTGAAAGAATTTTTTGTGAATGCTATAAAAAACTAAGCATACGATGCAACCACATTGCCTGAGTAGCACTACTAGTGGCTGCATTATACTCTGTCTCAGTAGTAGATAAGACAACAACTTGTTGTTTCTTTGAAAATCAGGAAAAAATTCCTGAATTAATTTGAAAACCATACCCTGAAATACTTTTGGTTTTTTCTACGTCACCTCTCAAATCATTGTCTGTATATCCTACAAATTTACAAAAACAAGTAGAAGAAAAAAAAATACCATAACTCTGGGTACCTTTAAGATATCTCAAAATCTTTTTAGCTTGCTGTTTGCAAATGGGATTTGGGATTGACGTGAAGACTTTATGTATCTACTGATAAGACCAACTCCAAAAATAATATCAAGTCTAATGGAAGTCAAATAACGTAAACTTCTCACCTATTGTTTGAAATATATGGGATTCACTAACTCACCATTCCTATCTTTACCCAATTTCAATCTTTCTTCAACCGAAGTAAAAATAGGATTGCAAGAATCTATTCCGAATCGTTTAAGGATATCCCTAGCATATTTCTATTGGAAAATAAAAATCTCACTGTCTATCTGATTAACTTCAATCCCAATAAAATAGGCATCAAACCCATATCAATCATCTCAAATTGAGAAATCATTGCCTCCCTAAATTTCTCAATTAACTTCAGATTATTTCCTGTGAAAATAAGATCATCCACATACAAACACACAATAATTATATCTCCATGGGAATTAGTTTTGACATACAAAATGTGTTCATAGGAACATCTCTGAAAACTATTCTCTACAAAATAAGAATCAATGCAAGTGTACCAAGCTCTAGGGGCTTGTTTAAGCTCATACAAAACCTTTTTTAACCTATAGACTTTGTTTTCCTCCCTTTTTGAAATATCTTTCAAGAATTATTAGTAGTAAGAGAAATAATCATACGAACAATATCAAGCATAGAAACAGAAGCAAAAACCTCAAGATAATCAATACCTTATTTTTGTTTGTAACTCTTGGCTTCTAACCTTGCTTGAAGCGATCCACCTCTCTATTTGGCTTATATTTGGTTTTGTACACCCATTTAACTACAATAGTTTTCTCTCCATTGGGAAGAGAAATAAACTCCCATGTATATTTTTCTCAATGACATGAATTTCTTTATCCATTGTTTTCACTCAATGTTTCTCCCAGCAAGCATCACTAAAAAAAATAGGATCACAATTTGTATATAAAGCAAAATTTATCAAATCCTTATCAGAAGAATCACTGTCAGTGCCAATAACATAATCCTTCAATCTAACTACCATGTATCATTCACGCTGTGAACGCCTAAATGACTTTGACTGCGGGGGATTGAATAGCTATAAAGTATTTAATTGGATGATCATCAATTGAATCATAACATCAAAAAGAACAAGTGTGGCTAACTTGTCTTCCTTTTGGGACCAATCCCAAACAACATGCTCATCAAAAGTGACATCCCTATTAATAATCACTTTTCTTGTAATGAATTGTAAAGTTTGTATCCCTTTGTAACTGAATTGTACCCAATAAAAAGACATTTTTCAGTTTTAAGTTAAGCTTTTTTCAGTTAAACTTTTTTCTGAGAGGATCAGGAACATGGGCATAGGCAATACAATCAAACATCGTCAAATATTGAATACCTGACTTCTAACTATAAATCTCATAGGAAGTTTTTCCCTCAAAACTTCTAGTAGGGGACCTTTTCAAAACATAAACAGTACAAGCAATAACTTCTATCCAAAAACTTTTAGGCATATTTTTAGATTTCAACATGCATCTAATCATATCCATAATAGTTCTATTTTTCTTAGGGGTGTCAATCGTGTCGAGTTAAACGGGTGACGGGTGAAAAACGTATAAACCCATACACGACACGTTTAATAAACTGGTAATAAATCTCAACACAAACACAACCCGTTTAATAAACGGGAACACGACACGACCCGTTTAACCCGTTTAATTTTAAAAAAATTATATCAACAAATTTTAATACTCAATTTTTTTAACTACTAATTGCATTTACCTCAAAAAAGAGGAATTTTAAATTAAATCTTATAAAAATAAAACTTGAAGGCTTTAAAAAAAAAAACAAGAGGCTATTGCCTTTTATAGGCAACTCACCCTCCCCATCTCCCCTCATTTTTCAATGTGGGACAAAAACAAAAGACATTAGTTTGTCTTTGCCTTTCAAGTGCTTTACAACTCCTCTCATTTGTTTTTGAAAATATAAGACTTGAAAGTTTTAAAAATAATAACAAGAGATCATTGTCTTTTATAGGTAACTCAACCCTCCCCATCTCTCCTAATTTTTTAATGTGAGACAAAAACAAAAGACATTTGTTTATTTTTGCCTTTGAAACGCTTTCTAACTCTTCTCCTTTGTCTTTGAACTACTACTTTACTTTTTTTTTATTGATTTCTTTACTTCTTTTTTCTTGCTAATTTTTTAAAATAATTATTAATTTATTATTATATTAATTTTATTTAAACGGATAAACGTATGATAAACGATTTGACAGGTTTCACCCGAACACGACTCGTTTATTAAACGTGTTTGGCGTGTCAACCCGTTTATCACCCAAACCCGTTTAATTCGTATCGGTTAATCGTGTCGTGTCGAATTTTGACAGCCCTAATTTTTTCCTCTCTGCCATACTATTTTGTTGGGGAGTATATTTAACTGTCAACTGATGCTTAATACCATGATTTCTCAAAAAATCATCACAAATCATATATTCCTAACCTTTGTTAATCCTCAAAACTTTAATTTTTCTCTCATTTTGCTTTTTAACATAAGCCTTAAAATATTTAAATGTATCACATGTATCAAATTTTTTTTTTTCAAAAATATACACCTAGATATTTTTGCTAAAATCATAAATAAAGATAATAAAATACCTACTTCCACCATTGGAAGAAACTTTAACTGAACACAAATAAGAGTAAATCAAATTAATGGGTCTTTTTGCATGCCAACATTATTTATCAAGAAAATGGTCTCTATGTTTTTTTTTTTTTCAAAACTTAAGTCCCACAAACTTGACTATGAATATTAATAACATGCAAATCAAAAACCAATTTTTTCTATCCAAGAAAATTTAAGCTATGAAAATTTACATTCCCAAACCGCATATGCCATAATCAATTATCCTTAGAAATTTCAGAACTAA